GTGTGAATGTAACAAAACAATTCTTTAGGTATGTTTTTGATGAGGAAAGAACATTATAAGCTATCATAAAAAAATAGAGTAATGTGGACTTTTAAAAAAAATCGGATTTCAATGCATGCAAAATTAAATTGGGTTAATAATAAAAATTAACAATTATATATTCGTATATAGAGTTAGCAAAATGCATGCTAAGTTTAAAGTTACACGTGGGCTGCAGTCAAACCGCAATTTTAACATAAGTGCATGATTCAAACCGATATTTTACACAATCTGTCTGATGACTTCCAGAAATCCTTCCAACCACCACCAGGGCCATCCGTCTGTGTCAGCGGTCCTCTCTGCTCCCTCTACCCGCTCTCGGCGCTCTCTCCCCGCGCGCGCAAACATCATGAGCGCGGGGACTCTGGGTAAAGCCACAGTCTGACCGAGCGAATCCGCAGCCCCACAGCAACCATCTAGTGGCGGAAAACGGGATAACACGAACTGAACGCGCCAAGGACAGTGTTACACAAAGTATTATCTAAGGGACCTATTTTGGACATTGCCAAGTGAATCACCACCAGGATCACCAGAGGGACTGAGTCACCCGCCATTTTGATCTCGGGCGGAAATAAAAACAGGAATTCATTTTTGTATGCACCTACGAGGCCAAGCAACCAAGAGACACACACCCACAGAGGAATAATCGTGTAGTCGCTTCAGTGCCAGCTATAAGATATTGCAACAAAACATGATTAGAAAAGCACCCTGGTTAAAATGACACATGAATCATATTATTGTAGCAGTAATGTTTCTTTTAGAGACTGTTTAACAAATAGAAAATAAGCTCCACAAAAAGATGAAATGTGCTTTTGTTTTACTTTCATCCATATTTACATAAAACTAAATTTATTACTCAGACTAATAATAAAGGTTTTCTTAAACATGGATGAATGTAAACAAAAGAAAAGTATGTTTGTGAACATGGCTTAAAGCTCACAAGAGTCAATTTAGTGCCTTTTATATTGCCCTATGTATTTATTTATTTATTCAGCCAGCCTGTTCATGAAAGTTTATATAATTGAAGCCTTCCTACTGGGTTTTATTTTTTTCTTATTTCTAAGTGAATCATAACTGCCAATGCTGAACAGATGGTCCAAGCTTTTGCCATTGAAATCCTTACAGTGAAATTGAAAACAGAAATGCGTTTTCTTCCCCATAAAAATAGAGCTTTAACACAAAATAAATATCCAAGAAAGACAGTAAAACGCTGCATAAGAAACCCTGTTTATTGAATGTCACATGAATCACGCGCAGCATCAGAAGGTCTGAGTCATCTGCCATTTTGATCTGAGGTAAAAATGAAATGTTAAAATTACAGTCCTTTTACAATATATCTACCATGTCCGAAATAGGTAAAATTCTGCAGTTAAAGTAGTCCTGACCAGAGACTAGCTCAAGATTTATGTAGAGATGGGACCACAGTATTGAAAGATGGTTCAAATGCAAAGCATAAATTTATGGGGACAATAAAGTGAACCTTAACCTTAAAGGGCCCATAATTTACTTTCTGATTTATATTATGTTTTCTCATCACAAACATACCTGGAGTTGTGTTTTGTTTCATTCACATATGTTTAACACATAAATCCAGCATATTTAGATTGTGTTCTTCTTTTAAACGGAAGACACTCTGCTCCACTGTGTTTTCAAACTCCATGCACCTTCACGAGAATCATTTGGATAATTTCAGACCTGGATTTGTCAATCTCTACTGAACAAAAGGTAAAACTGCTAACTTGAAAACTACTGCTTGACATGCATGACATCACAAGGTGGAAGCATCTTTCTTTTAATGCAATTTGTTATAGTATTTATTTTCAAATTATGATCATACTTTTAATGTCATATGAAGGAACAGTAGGAGCAAAGCAATAACATCTACATAGAGGCAAACAAGCAACCAGAGACATACCATAGTGCAGCATTTAAACAAAAAATGTATAAATCAAAATTTATATTTTGTGTGTAAATTACATTTGAGTCCATCTCCACAATTAGGCACCTTTCCTCTTTCCCATTCAAATTCCAGGATCCCACGCTGTCATGGTTACCAAAAAACAAAACACAAAATCTGGACACTCTGGGACATTTTCTACATGATGTATTCAGCCATCCCAAAATAAACCAAGTCTCCAGGGACAAAAATAAAAACTTGCAAAAGGTCAAATTAGAAAATATTGAGAAATGGGAAATACTGATCAGCTGACTTAATAACTGACTTAATATAAAACTTACTAAACTCAGCAAGAAAGATCATGTTTCACTTCTGTCAAAACAATGTCGACAAAACATAAATATGATCTTGTAGCTAAATTTAGTCTGTGTAATGTATTGTGCACTGTCCCTGTCAAATAAATAAATAAATGAATACATACATAAATGTATTATATATATTTTTTCCACTTCTTTATATAATATCTTAACTCTATTCAAAGTCTAATATTCTAGTTCTGGTTCTGGTTCTAGTTGTAATATTCTAGTAATGGTTTGATAGTTATTGTGTGTTTCTATTCTCCTGCTCTTCTTGAACTGTAATTTCCCCATTGTGAGACAAACAAAGACTTTCTGCCAGTAGGTTATTTATGTATTACCCAGACCCAATGAAATGAGTTTCCTCCACAAGGTGGCTGGGTGCTCCCTTAGAGATAGGGTAAGGAGCTCAGTAAAACAGGAGGAACTCGGAGTAGAGCCGCTGCTCCTCCAGGTAGAGAGGAGCCAGCAGCATTTGATCCCCATACCTCCTGTGCAGCTCCCTCGAGAGGTGTTCCAGGCATGTCCCACCAGAAGGAAGCTCCAGGGAAGCCCCAGGACACACTGGAGGGATTATGGCTACGTTCAGACTGCAGGGCTTAATGCTCAATTACGATTTTTTTGTGAAATCCGATTTTGCGAGGTCGTTCACATTTCCAATTAAATGCGACTTGTATGTGATCTCCAGTGTGAACATTAAACAGCCCGAAAGTGTCCCGCATGCACACTGGAGGACACGATGACGTTATCCACAGCGAGCGTGCTCTGTGTTTATGGAAGTTGTCCAAACATGGACGCGAGCATTGAGCACCTAGCAATTTTAAAGTTCCTCTCGTACCGGAGCCAGAACATGAACAACTTATTTGTTTTAAGGAGGAGATTGAGAAGGAGAAGGACGAGGTTTTTGGTTGTGGCATTTTGTGGGGCAGTAGCAGCGACGTCCGTTGAAAGGAACGTGTGGATGCGGAGACGTAGCCAAGAGTGGTGAGTGGTGATGTGCTTCGCTTCAGTGACACAGAGTTAATTAACAATTTCCGCCTACTTCAGCGTAGAGTAGTGACTTTTGTGGCTTGTTGATAACATGTAGATCAGATGAAGGCGCTTTGGCCGTTCAGACTGAAGTCGCATGTCAATAGATCAGATATGTATCGGTTTCAGGAGCACATATCCAAGTGGCCTGGGTTGCATTTGAAAAAAATCGGATCTGTGTCGTTCAGACTGTCATTAAAAGATCAGATACAGGTCACATAGGGGCCAAAAAATCAGATTTGGGTCATTTCAGGCTGCAGTCTGAACATAGCCTGTCTCTCTGCTGGCCATAAGATAAGCAGAATTAAATGGATGGGTGGGTATTTATGTGTTGATTTGATTGTACTGTGATTTAAATGTCTTTCTTATTCTGTAAAGCACTTTGAGTTACTTTGTGTATGAATTGTGCTATATAAATAAACTTGCCTTGCCTTTTACTTGTAAGCTTTCTTTTGATAGGAATGAAGAATAAGTTTCTCTGATAGCCTAATATGTCTGTCAATCACCCCCATCTGAACTCAGCGAGCGAAGACCAGTCTATAGATACATCTTTGTAAAGTACTGAGAAACTGAGTATTCTTGTTGTTGTCAGTGAGACTGGTGCGTGTCCCAGCTGTGGAGGTACAGCTGGGCACAGGAATGCACAGAGGACAGATTCAGTTTGAGTAAAAATGTGAAGTATCTGAACAGAATGAACAGAATGACAGCCGGACATTATCCAAAACAGGGTGAAGCAGGTCACCGGGGCAACCCACTGATAACCTCCATAATAACAGGCTATTTAGTGCAATTAAAATGCACGTCTCTCATTAGGACTTGAGTAATGAGTCTGTAATCACTTGTAAAATGCCTGGCTGTTGACTTTAATAGAGCTTCACTTTATCATACTGTATGTATTTTCTGAGTTGAGTTTATGTCTTAGAATATTATGTCATATAAGATGGAGGGGGTTTAATGGGTCATTCACTGGGTCTTTCATTCATTTTGAAAGTAAATAAATAAATTAATTAATCTCAAAACCAAAAATCCACAAATATTGTACCTATTCATTTTGGTCAGGTATTGTGTCCTGAAATTGTCATTTTCTTATTACAGCTAAAACACAGATGACCTAAAATGAATAGCCAAAATATTTTTTCTACATTTGTTTATTTATTCTGTCACAGAACATGCTGAACTTTGTGTCAAAAAATACAAAGAAATTCATTATAAACTATGCACTGATACTAGTATCAGACATGAGCTCTGAGACTGAAAAAAGTGCTGGATCAGTTATCAGCTTCCAGATGTCAGTTCAGTCGATATCCGTTCAGTTGGACTTATATAGTGACTATATACCGGCCCAGAAAGTCTCATAATGTTTAAATTTGTATTTACATTGAGCTGTTCTGTGGTTACTTGAGAGATAAATAACAACTCCATAATGCATTTGGATCAGTTTTATCTTATTAAATTTTTGTCTACAGGAAATATATGCTGTTTTCAGTCTTTGGTATTGGTCAGTATCAGGTATCGGGATATGATACTTAAAACTGTAGTATCGGAATTGATATCAGAACTGTAAAAGCTGGATTCCTACTATAAACCTAGAAACCTGATTCTCTGTTTTAACTTACTAAGTGGCTCTGATGTGTCTAAAATAACATCCATTATATTGGCATAGATTGGCCTCCCTCTCCTCTCTGTAATGTCTCGATATTAATCTATTCTCTACTATGAGCTGGTGCCCTGAAAATGTCACTTCTGTGCCATTTTAAACCTGGATGTATTATAGATGCAACCACCCGTGAGCGACTGATCCTTGGTGAACTTTAATGTACAGATTGTATACACAACGAAAAGAACATGCCAGATGCTTTTTCCACTTTTTTTTTATTACAATGGCTTAAGAATTTCACAGTAATACAAAACATTTACAAATTATTACAATGAAAGATAGAAGAAATACGCGTTTTTTGGTAAATTAATCATACCTTATACCTCCATATATTACCTTATACATCTTTATTTTATTCCCCAGTTGCCACAAGTTTGCAACTTCAAAACAAAAGCTATATACACATTAGAGCTTTTAAGTTGCTCATGACTCCATCTAGTGGCAAGTCCTGGCTACATTTCATATTATGTCATGTGATAAATTGTTTTGTACTATCCCCAGGAAAGTTGGAAATAGTGGATCAACACCATGTAACTATATATAAGTACTGTACATTTACATTATTGCTGTTTAACATTTCAAACTTTCTCACATTATCACATTATCAACCCCAACACAATGTATAAAATGTAAATTATAATGGTAAAAAAATATCACAACCTCTTTGATTGATCAATAGATTATCTATGGCGTTTATACAATGGTGCCTCTACAATTTGTTCATCTTTCTTTCAATAACAGCACAGAAAAAAAGTAGTACAAGAGTTGGAAGACCTTATATACACTTCTAAGCAAAAGTTTGGACTCGCCCTCTCATTCAATGTTTTTTTTTTTTTTTAATATATATGTTTACTACTTTCTACATACAGATACAGAAGACGTCAAATATATGAAATAAGATGCATGAAACTGGAAAAATGAAAAATGAAAAAAGTTATGTAATGTTTAATTTGATGATTTGGTTATTTATTTCTTTTTTTTTTTTTTTTTTTACTTTTTTTTCTTTCCTACATAATTTCCTACATTACATTTACTTCATATATTTGATGTCTTCTGTATGTTTATCAAATGTAGAAAGTAGTTGTAGATTATATTCGATAATGTAGAATAATGCCTTTATGTATCTGTTAATTAACATAATAAACATATTAGTAGTAGTAGTAGTAGTAGTAGTAGTAGTAGTAGTAGTAGTAGTAGTAGTAGTAAGCATATAAACAAAAACAAAAAAAAAAACATTCATTGAGAGGCTAAGTCCAAACTTTTGACTGTTGTGTACATTTAAAGGTGCATTAAGTAACTTTTTGGTGGGGGGTGTGTCACCTGCTTGTTTCTATAGATATGTCTTTCCTTTGCCTGGAATGTTCCACAGTATGACATTAAACAGCTCTACCTTACATTTATTCAATTACAGGTGGCTCAGTACCTGGAAAAACAGGAATTTTGATTGTGAGTGGGGTCGCCTCTCCACAGATCTGACCTGTAACTTGGTCTGGTTTGGTCTACATGAAGATACAAAGGCCATATTGTGAAACTTCCCACACAAAGCAATAACATCTCCATGGAGAAAAGAATTTGACGGGCCCTACACCAGAAAAGTTACCCTACATGAAGTCAAAGCTATTTAATTCAAATAGGTTGAAGTGACTTAATATCTTTTTCAGGATTAAGAGTTCTCGACCATGGCCAAGTCTTTGAGATCACTGAGTTTCCGTGAGAATGAGCTGAGTCTGGTGCTAAAAGACCCTCTCTTCTGGCTGTTGTGCTCCTCTTCGCGAGCTTTCACACAGGCACACAGACCCTTACAAAGCCCACCCAGCCGCCCTCTGAAATGGTGTCCGATGAAGCAGTACAAGAGCGGGTTTATCGCCGAATTCGAAAACCCCAAACAGAGCGTAATCGGCATCAAATTTTCAATGGTCCAATCCACCCAGCACCCTCCCAACCATCCGTACGCTTTGCCAACATCTAGCATCGTAACGCAATGAAATGGGAACCAACATAGGAAAAACGCGATGACGACTGCAGCTACTGTCCATAAGACTCTTTGTAGTCCTCTTCCCTCCAGGGGTTTGCTATTGCCAGATCTCGGATGGGGGCAAGGGGTCGGAGGTCGTTCAAATTTACCGTGTTGGTCTTTGGATTCCACGCATTTTTTCACGGACTGCGTTGTACTTTGCATTCTTACCAGGCCTGTATCTGCGAGTAAGTGTCTCCCAATGATGCAGTAACAGCAGCAGATAACTATCAAAGGGAGTACAAAGCCTACTATTACCTTCATCCAGGCGAGGGCAAAGAACCAGGTGTCATTGGGGTACTTAACGCCGCATACTTCGATGTTTAACTGAGGGATAGCGTGGATATCCCGAAGCGCTAGAGTCGGAGCGGAGCAAAGGCAAGCCAGGACCCATACCACAATACAAGTGAACCTCGCGATTTTGGGGTCGCGAGCGCTTCGGGACCTCAAAGGGTGAACGATGGCGAGATACCTGTCCATACTCATACACATGATGAAGAAAATGGATGCGTAAAGATTGAAGTGGAGAAGCGCGCCGCATATTTTGCAAGTCACGCGTCCAAAAGTCCAGTTGTAGTTTTGCGAGTAGTACGCAGCCCACAGTGGTAGCGCTAGGAGGAACAGCAAATCGGCCACGCACAGGTTTACCATGAAAGTATTGGCGACGCTTCTTGACGTACTTGAATGAGCCAAAACGCTAATCGCTAACACATTGCCAACCGTGCCGAATATGGCAATGATGCTGTATATCGTCGGGATGAGAGTGGACATGTCAATGCGAGTCCATTCTTCACCACAAGAGGGCGTGGGAGAGGCCGTGCTCGTGTTGGGCGACGCTGTAGAGTTGAAGAAGTAATTTGAGTTCTCCATGACGGCAAATTTTGTAAGCGTGCGTCTCTAGATCCCAAGTTCAGGCCCTTCAAACAAAAAAGAAACATTTAGAATTAGTTTACCTTTTAAGGAGACTACTTCTTCAGCCACTTTTGAGTGTTTGGTCTCATGGTTCTGTCAGCTGTCACAAATGATAACAAATCTGAAGAAAAATAGATTACAGCATTCAGTGTTCAGGTTGTACTGGAACACATGGTGACAGCACGTACACTCCTATATGTAGTGTCAGTCTATCTCCATAAATTCCCCGTGTCTCTTTACATTAGACAAGCAATGTATAAAGTGTCAGGATTCATTCAGACTTCATGCTCTATAAATAATTGTCCTCTAAAGCAATTAAAAGTAAACAAATCAGCCAACTGCTTTCTGTGAGTCCTTTAAAATTGTCTCTTTTAGTCAAATTGAAAATAAAAACTGTAACCTACAATTACTCTGATTTGACAAAGCTTGTGAGAGTGACAGGTCATTGATATAAACTACATCCAAGTAATGATTGTTGGCCACAGCATGCAACTTTTTGGCCAAATATAAACCAAAATAAAATAATATTTGTTCATATTTTTTAATTTGTATTTATCAATTTCAGTTTTATTCATTTTGGTTGCATTTATTGCACTGAAAAACACGCATCCTTACTCTGAGCAGGCTTGCATCCCCACAGACCTGACTCATTTGGGCTGCTTTCCTGCATGATTCCATGGAAATGTTGTTCCTTTGGCTATAATAAGTTCTGGATGTTCTGACGTATACATGGTTTTAACTTTTAATTTCCGTGGAATCATACAAGTGTCCTGCCACCTTTAGAAAGTTACATACTGTACCATTAAATGTACCTTCAAATAGATTTATATGCTTTTTTATGTTTTTTTTTTTTTTTTTTTTGCCAGTTGGGAAGGTTCAGCGCTCTAGGACATCTTTCTGGGACATCTCTTCTCTGAACATTGGGTAATCATCTTATGTTTGACTGACTTTTTTATAGTTTGATTTTCTAAATGTTTTTGTTGGATAAATCAGCAATTTTCTGAAGCCAACTCTGGATGTGGTTTTGGACTGTACAAAAATACATTGCGTTCAGTAGTGACAGTCTAAATTAAGTAATACACCTCAGACTCTATTGAATTTAGAAAGGAGCAGTATCAAATAACACATGTACAATAACATTAGACACAAATCATTATCATATCATAATCTAATCCAACACACAGACAAAATAAGGACTACACATATAAATGAAGAACAGTCTATGACGCAGTGTAAAGCAGTTAGCACTAATGTGGATTCAAGTTATGGTTATGTCTAAATGAAGTAATCCCAGACAAATAGAGGACTAATCACAAGAGTAAACACGAGCAGATGAAGTGCAGCAATAAAACAGGGCCCAGACTAACCTTAGGCCAAATGGTCAAACCTTGTCTCATTTTCCACCACAGTTTAACAACCTTCTGAAAGAAACCTGGAGCACAACTTTGGTTTCATGACGTTGTTCCTCATTGAATTGTTTATAATTGTTCAGCTGTCATCACTTCAGTTTCTCTGAATTTTTCATTAACTGTGGTGGGATGTAACGAAGCAAAAACAGTAAATTACTATACTTAAGTAAATATTTTAGGTACCTGTACTGTACTTTAGATTATATATTTTTAACTGGACTGAAAAGTAAAAGCATTTTTTTATTATAGTTTGAGGCCTGCTGAAGGCTGAGGGGTTTATTTTTAACACGTTCACAGTTTAAGCAAACACAAATATAAAAATAAAAACAGCTAGAAAAAGAAAAAAAAAAAAAGATTGATTGTTTCTGTTGAACAAAATTCAGCACAAATCAAAATCACTGCATTTGAAGCTTTTTTTTAGATCTCAACCTGCGCAAAATACTTCTACTTTTTACTCTTTAAGTACATTTTTAACTGGTACTTTAATACTTTTATTTAAGTAGATTTTTTCAAGTGATACATTTACTTTTACTTGAGTTTTTTTTTTTCTCCGAGATCTGTACTTTTACTTAAGTAACAAAATTAAGTACTTCTTCCAACACTGAAGACTTAAAAGTTTCACTAAGTAACTTTTCTGGTAAAGGGTTCACCATATGGCATTACATTTATCTATCTCCATGGAGACAAGGAGGTGATGCCGTGAGGTCAGGTTACGAGTCAGATCTGTGAAAAGGCTAGCCCACTCACAGTAAGAATGCATATTTTTCAAGGTACTTCAATAAAATACATGCAGTATAGACAATTTAATGCCATACTGTGGAACATTCCAGGCAAAGAAATACAATCTTCATAAGATACAAGCAACAGAAAATGGTGTACACACAGAAAGTCAAATCAGGACAACTGCAAAAAGTCAAGTTAGTTTAAATTACCTCATATTTCACAGAGACCCTGAAAAGCAGAAGTTGCACCCAATGAATTTTAATGTCATAAATCAGTTTTCAAAGCCTTATCCTCCAGAAATGTTAAGATACAAAGTTAAATTAGTCAAGACATGTTTCATCTAACCCAGCGTTAACTCACAAACAACCCAAAAAAGTGTATTAAAAGTTTTACCTGCAGCAGTTTGACAGTTCTTAGTCCTTTTGGCTATGGTCCATATCTTGACAATTGCCCTTCTCCAAAGTTGTAAGTAGTTTGGTATCCCAGACTGGAGCACACGATACCTCCTCCCCTCTCTCTAGATCGCTCTCTCTTTCTCTCTCTTTCTGTGCACAAATGGTGAGGGTATGTGCATGAAATGTTGGAGACTATGAGAAACCAGATGAGTTTGGGGGTCTTATAGCTCCCCAGAGTCCAACAGAGATTGCACAACAGGGAAGCAATGCACACGTCACACCTTCATTATTACACAGGGCTGGACTGGACAGCGTGTGTGTGTTTGTGTGTGTGTGTGTGTGTGAGAGTGGACATGGGGCAACCCGAGGGGAGCACAAACTGTTACTACATTTTACACTGGCGTAATGTTAGACTAATAAGTAAAAGTACAGGGTAATTCTGGAGAACTGAGTCACTGGTTGATCAGAATTTGATCAAGAAGTGTGTAATCTAAACTCAGATGGGAATAATTAAGTGTACTGTTTTGTACAGGCCCCAAGTGTTATAAATGCAGAAATGTCAAATTGAACCCATGTTTCTTGGAACTAACCACTATTTTGCCAATTAATTAACCAGGCTTTCTTTTTTTTATATATATAATATAAATTGATTGGTTGTTTATGTCGTGAAAAGCCCATGGATGTCTCAATTTTACTCATTTGGCCCAGATGAAAGTTAAATAGCTGTTGCTTAAGGCCATCCTCAGGCCATGTACAGGAAGGTCTTGGGGTCGATTGCTTCTGGCTGGAGTGGAGTGTATGTTCTTGTGTCTGTGTAGGTTTTCTCCAACTTTCACTTCCCCTGGCTTTAGAAACATGCTGTTTGGAATACAGTGGCGTTGTGCATAGTCACACTGGCTCTTTGGGTTAAAGCCTAACCCAAACACAACTGTTAACCAAATTAACCATAGTGGCATCTGAACTGATGTTGTGGAAGTAATTAATAGCAACAGTAGTAAAACTCCGCTGCAGACAGTGGTTGCAGCAGACTCTACTGGGGTTGAATGCTGTTGTTTTGTTGTGGTAATACAAATAAACCACCAAAGAGAAAAAGAGGGTGATTTGTCCTGTTGAGGTCAAGCGCTTGTCAACAAATTGAAGACTGGCAGTTCAAACATCACTTTCACCATTACACACTGCTGTTGTGTCTTTGGGCAAGACAGACTGATCAAAAGGTCACAGAAGAAGCTTACTTGCCTGACCAGTCAGTCCCTTCTACATTATGTTCAAATCCAGGAGGCTCTGGAACCTAACCATAGGCTACGTTCAGACTGCAGCCTGAAGTGACCCAAATCAGATTTTTTCGCTCCTATGCAAATACATATGTCCCCTATGGCGATACATATCCAATCTTTTGACATGCGACTTCAGTCTGAACGGCCAGGTCACGTTCATCCCACCTATACGTCAGGCTCAGAGTCTAGTCAATGGAGGGAAAGCGAGGTTAGCGAGTTAATTAATATTGGGGGGATCTCTGTATTCAGGCCAAATTGGAGGGGTCTTTTCGGAACCGGGCGGTTTTTGAAACGATTTTCAAAGAAATGGCCAAGCCTCCAATGTCAACAAAAAATAAAGAGCCAAATACAAGGAGACTAACCTGTCCATTTTATGAAGAACTGGACCGTATTTTGGGAGACAAGTCCAGCGTTTAGGCTCCTTCTGTAAACACTGAGTGCACCCGCTGTGTGTGATGTTGTTATGTCCTCCAATGCGCATGCGAGACACTTTTGGGGCGTTCAAAGTTCACACTGGAGATCACATACAAGTCGCATTTATTTGGAAATGTGAACGACCTCGCGAAAAAATCGGATTTCACAAAAAAATAAAATAAATTGAGCAGCCCTGCAGTCTGAACGTAGCCATAGAGCCAATCCTCTCTGTACTTGGGACAGTCCAATAACAGCCGCTAAATTGTATCACGTGTCTCAAATGTTCAGAACAAAATACATAATTAATTTTACCTGGGATAACTGGGATAACAGATAACAGTTTAGTGCTTCACTTGTTGATTCACCTGCACCCCCACTTTTTTTTTTTTTTTACATATAAACCATTTTAACGTAATTGGACCATGTGTTTCTCCTCCATCTACATGAACGCTATAACTGAATCTCCAATACCTCTCCTCTCACATCCTCTCACTACCTGCTCCTAATGACGTGACACACCGCACCACACTGCCCCCTGTCTGTCCCTCCTGAGACCGCCGATCCCTCCAAAACTCGCCCGTTAATTGGCAGCACATCATGGTCAGTGTCAGACTTCTTTCCCACTTGGCGGTCAAGATAAGCCATGGGAAATATTTACAATAGTGTCTCAACGGAAGTCCCAAGCACCACCAGCACAGCTCCGAAGGCCGGGGGAGGCTCTGCTAAAACATGAGATGAATCAGGAAGAGCTAGGGTGTAGGAGGCTGCAGGGAGTGAACGAGGAAGATGAGAAGGAGACGAGGAAAGGAGAGAAAAGCGGAGATCCCCTTGAGTGGTTTTTCATTAAGAGCCTCTGGTGCTGGTTAATGAGGGCTGTGTGAGCACCATTACATCAGAGCAGCTTTGATCAGTGCAGTCGGCTCAAACAGAATGTGTCTGTGCAATACTAAAAGTAGTTCTGCTGCAGGGGGTTTAGGGGAATATATGAATGTAAAAAAGTGGTGTTGCCAACGTTTCCAACTCAATTTACGAAGGAGGCTTTGTACTGACTTTGATATTGTGATCATAATAACAATATGTTGTAGACAATCACCATATGGTCTTATACTTTTAAAATAGTTACAAAACCACTGTAAAACTACCCGATTTTAATAATCATGTTAGAATGTTGTTACCTTATCAAAAACATACCTGGAGTTGTGGTTTGTTTCATTCACACATGTTTGAGCTCTTTATTATTAGTCTGTCTACATCTCCAAAGCTCAAAATGCTCTGTTCTGTTGTGATGTAATGAAGTGATAGTCTTCAAGTTAACAGCTACCTTTTCACCTTTTGTTCAGTAAAGATTGGCAATTCAAGAGCTGAAATCATCCAAATGATTCTAGTGAAGGTGTATGGAGTTTTAGAACACAGTGGAGCACTTTCTCCTCCTTCTCCTCCTTCCTCCAGATGACATCACAAGGTGGCTCTGTTAAGGGTGAAGTATAGTTCTGCGTCGACTCAACGCGCACTGCCGCCGTCGCCTTGTCGCCGTCGTTTTTGATTTATGGATCTGCGTCGAGGTCTGTGCACCACGAAGTAATTTACTGCCAAAACGCTAGGGGGCGACGATATCTGTCCATTCATATATACGGTCTGTGTGTATGACCCACAGATGTATTATCTCTGAAAAGCTTAACATGAACCATCTCTAATGTGACAAAAGCACAGAACAGACTCACCATTAGTACAATATCCCTCTGTCACAGAAGAACACTCATATTCCACTGAGTCGTGTCCTTTTTAAGTTTGACAGAAGCTGACCGCGTACCAGGAGCGAGCTGTTTTATGAGCGCTTTGTTTATGCAAGTTAGCCATGTGGTTTTACGTTTCGTTTCTGTAAAACTTAAACACATGTGCGCAAAGCTGCACTAAACACATTATTTCTCAATGTATACTGAAAGAAAGAAAAGCCGACAGGAAATGTCCGTACTGCGGTGGTACGGAGGACCAATCACAGCTCTTATCGTCTGCGTCGCTTCCCCTGCTGTCTGCGTTGTTTTGACGCGTAGTTAGAAAATTTCGGAGGTGCACGTCGATCGCAGACTCTCTGCGTCGTGATGCACGATTTGACGCTGGACCGTAAATTGGCCTTTACACCGCTGCCTAAAAACTGATTTTTTTTTTTGTTAAAGGAACAGACCGGAATTTTGGACATATAGGATCTCATTTCCTTGTTCGTCAGAGTGTTGGAGATGTGTGGAGACACTTTTTGAAATATTCCATCCAGTCCTTGTATTTGCAGAGGTCACTGGTGCTAGGCTACTGCATGTCAATGGCCATAGTTACCCTGACACTAAAACACCCGAAGCAAATCTGTTATTACTCCAGACTGTCGATGTGAATGTCTGTGTTGATAGAATAATTTTAGAAGTAAAACCAACCTTGCATTTGAAGGATTTCTGTCTGAGCAGCAGCAGCGAGTTGTACTTCCTGATAGAAAGCTCAGCAGCGGTGGACTGATATCACCTAGCACCTGTCTTACCAGCAAAGTAAAATTCTGCAGCTGCTGAGAAACTAGTCCCTCAAAATGTGACGATTCATGCAAAGCAAGGTTAGTTTTATTTCAAACATTATTCTATCAACACAGACATTTACATCGACAGTCTGGTGTAATAATAGATTTGCCTCAGGTATTTTGTGGAGTGGGTAAGACTGTTTTTAGTGTCAGGATAACTATGGCCATTGACATGCACTAGTCTAGCACCAGTGACCTCTGCAAATACAAGGACTGGATGGAATATTTAAAATAGTGTCTCCACACGTCTCCAACACTCTGGCTCACTAGGAAATTACGTCCTATGTCCAAAATTTGGACTGTCCCTTTAATCATGTGTGAATAAAACAAAACACATCTCCATGTCTGTTTGTGACGAGGAAACAATATTATAACATAGATCAGAAAACAATGTAATTTGGACTTCTTAAGTAGCACAATTTCACCCATAAACAACAAAATAACCTATCTTATCAAGTACAAAATATAAACCCTTTTTGCACAAATGCTTTTTCACAATGAAAAATACAGGACATGTTAAATGCATACTTAATGTTAGTCTCTCTTGAATTCCCATGTGATTCATTGTTGCATATTTCGCATTGTCAGATCCATATGTGGCCTCTTTAATCTTATTCAAACATACACACACATGCACACACGCACACACACATCAGACCCTCCTCCCTTTGTTTACATGTATGTGCAGACCACATCTCATTGAACATCTCTCGTACTGTGACATTTGTTTAATAGCTGTGAAAATTCTACCTCCGTGAATGATAAATGGACTTATGTTTAGAAACCTGCAAACTAAAAGGTGAGTTAGTGTCTCCAGCAGGATGTGAAAAATCAGGAATGTCACTAAAATTAACGGAAATAATACAATGTTCTCCTCGGGCAGCGGCATGTGGGGTATGCACAGTTGTTCCTCTCCCACACACAAGTATTGGACA